TGTGTCAGTGATGAGAGTTATTTGATAGAGAATGCATTTGCTTGCTCTTATGAGTAACAAGTTTGTATACTGCCAGGCAATAGCCTGCTGTGGCACAAGGGCTATTTCCAGTGATTTAACTTTGACCCCTAACAAACCACTTTTTAAAATTACTTATTAGCCAGAGAACATCATTAATATATAACTGTACCTTATGTAAAATCCACACTTATGGATAGTTAAATTTATTCATTGAGGTCCTGAATCTCAAATCTTCCAAGGACTTTCACGAATCCCCATGATGCCTCTGAAAATTGCATTTTGCATCAGATTCTCTTATTTCTGTAAAAAAAGTTTCAGAAATTCATGTTGCTTGTCTTCAGTCCACAAAGTAGAGTTTCTTCTTTTGGACAGATTGGTCTTGGACAAAGCACAACACAGAAATTGCTTCCAGATCATCTTGTGCCTGTGAGAGGATTGAGGGCTTAAGACAGCATGCATTTCACAGTGTCGTATTTGGCCCCTTTTCCTAGTAAACATGGTAGAAGGAGACCAGGAGACCCCAATCCAGGTTTTACTGGATGCAAGGAAATTCAGTATCTAATGCCACATTTTCTGGGATGGCCTAATAATGCTATAATAGTGGAGCATCATAATAAATAGTATCATAATGTCATGATGATAACCTGTAATTTAAATAAATCCATGAAAATGTAGAATGGAGAGATCTCCAGTACCAGCTACTGAGAATGAGTCACAGACTCAATTCTCAATTCAAAGCAATTGGCACTTCTGACGTTTATACACCAAGAGATCTCCACCAATCTCATTAAATATTCAATCCATATTCAAAGTTATTAAATATTGAACACGATTTAATAAATACAACCAAGTTAATCAAGACTTCGATTGGTGGTTGTGGGTTCATAAAAAGCTTGTGAAAAGAGTCATGCCGCTGGGTCTTATTCTGATCCTCTGCCTCCTGCCCCTGTTTTTAAAAGAGTGCAGGAATTGTGTTATATTTGTGTGTGCAGGGGGATGTTTCGGTTGTGTTGGTGTGTGTGTAGGTGTGTTGGGTTGTCATCTCCCAGTAATTTGTGCATCGGGCAGGATTGTTGTGTGTGGGTATATTTGCAGATGTGTCTGGTGTATATTGCATCAGTGTATGTTCTATCAGCAGATGTAACGCAGTTGTGCAATGGTTTCTTCTCTGCACCTGATTGATGGCTAGGACCACAGGGATCCCAAAATTCTCGATAATGCTTTGGGGGCATTTTTCGAAGGTTACTTTCAGATTTGTGTAAGTGGATTTGGCTCCTGAGAGTGAATGCCTCCCTAGGTTGCCTTACCTAAGTCCCAGTCCCATAGTGCAAGACACTACAGCATCGAGAAAAGAGCTTAGAACAAGCTTGAGTTCAAATTCAGGTTCTGTCATTTACTGGCTATGTGGCCTAGGGCAAGTTCTTCTTTGGCCCTCAGTCTTTCCTCTGTAAAAGGGAAATAATAGTGCCTACTATACAGAATTGTCACGAAGTTTAAATGATACCATGTGTGCATCTTATTAATAAATTGTAGATATTTTACTTATTCTTTTAACAAGGCAAGGCCCTATGCTAGGCTTTGTATCAGATATGAAGGTAAATAAGACATGGCATTGACCCCAAATATGTTAGAGTCTAGTGGGGAGGGAGACATTCCCCTCTCAAGCACCCTGACATACTGTGTACCACTTGAAGTTTTCAAAGACCCCACAAGTTCCGAAATCGTTCAGTCATTCAACAAATTCCAGCCATCCCTGAGTTCGTTTTGTGGGTATTCCTGTTTGGGGCTTTGAGTCAGAGTGCTACAGGAAGATAGAGAGGGAAAGGCGATCTCTCATCAAGGAATGGAGAGAGAGAGAAGGAAAACAAAGAGAATTCCCTGCCTGCATACTTGATTGAAGGAAAGACCATTGTGGTCTGAGCCTTGGACACTCTGTCCAGTGTCCTAGCCTTCAGATAATTTATTTCTAAGAGAAGGAGATCCTCTCACCTTAGTCACCGGAGTTTTGGCTTCCTTACTTCTCACCCCTGTCCAGGCCAAAGTGTGCAGAGGGTGCAATTGCACTTGCTTGTGGTCATATAGCTAACACGTGACAGAGCCAAGGATTTGAACTCAGGCTTCCTCTTCCAGGTCCCCTACTCTGCTTCTGCTCCTTTTTTTTTTTTTTTTTTTCTGGCAACATCAACCAGGTATGTAAACTTTTTGATAGCAGTGTTTATAGCATAGAATTGTGGATTTTCATCTCAAATATGGCCTTCAATGAGTAGCCTGGCCTTAGATGGCATAGCTTCCAAAATGAACTTGTTGTAGCCAGTTGAAGGTGGATATGGCAGTGGGCTGTGCAGAGTGGCGCCTCCTGTAAGTAGGCACTCAGAGACTGACAAATGAATGATGGATCATGGGCTCTAACGTGACCCCCAGCCAACCTCAGAGATGTTTGCTAAAAGTGTTTCTGGCTCTGTTGGGACATGTGTCCTTGGAGCCTTGCCATCTGGGTAGGGAAGGTGCAGCTTTATAGATCGGTGTGGCTTTTTAGAGTGTGACAGAAAACCAGACAATCCCTAGCCCAGCGTGGATGGGGCCAGCAATCCTCAGACACACAATTCAAGCCTGGCAGGTGTGAGTGTGTGAGAGAAGAGGGTGGGAGTTGCTTCTTATTTATTGGTCATTGAGATGGGATGAGATGGGAAGACCTGTCTACCTTCCCAAACCTATCAGAACTGAAGTCTGAAACTTATAAGTGGATGGCTACCAGGTAGAGGGAGGGTTGTGGGGCATGGTGGGGATCGCAACTCATAATGAAAATGGGAATGTGAAGATGAAGGAAAGATATGCAAAATCCTACCTTGTGCAGTATTAATTGCTCACAGTAGTCAAGTGCTACTCTGTGTCAGGAACTGTGCTTCGGTGCATTATGTGGTTTAATCCTCACACAGCTCACAGCACTATCATCATTCCCATTTTACTGATAGGGAAACAGGTTAAGTGACTGCCCAGTGTCACAGTTAGTAAGTAGTGTAGCAGGCATACAAATTTGGTGTCTATGATACCCACAAACTGTAGCACCTCAGAGCTGGAGAAAATCTTAGAGAACATCGAATTCAGCCTCTTCATAGTCAGGTGGGGAAATAATGCCAGCATGGGGACAGCCATGGACCAAGGCCAGACAGCTGGTGAACAGCAGCCCTCAGATTTGCCTGCAGTCGGGACTAGGGTGAGGCAGGGAGGCTCTGAGGGGAGAATTTAAGGAGGCGCTCACCCTCAGTTGCAGACTCTGAGCGTGAGCGCTCCATGTGCCCCACTCGAGTCTCAGCCTTGAGCAGATGCTTCTTCTGGTTTTGTGGTGTGAACCACAGAGGCCCAGGCCGGGATTTATTGACTTGATTTGATATCCCAAAGAGAGGAATGAATAAAATATTTGTGCAGAGCTTTGCCAGCACCCCAAAGTAGATTTTTACCCAGGGGCTGAACGGAGGTTCTGTTTCTGGTTGTACTTCTGGTTCTGCTTCTGGTTGTGTACCACAGCAGGAGAACAAACTCTGGCCCCAGAAATTAGGGGTGGAACTAGGAGAATCCTGGTGGTGTCGGGCCGCAGGTGGACTCCATGGGAAAGGAGACCCCACGTCTCTCCTCCGGACTCCACTGGGCTGAAATGAGGAAGTGCCAGGAAAAGCTTCTAGCGGAGGGACTTGCCCCATCAGACCCAGAATGGCCCCGGAGGGCTAGGTGCTCAGACTCGCGGACAGACACACAGCTCCCAGTCTCAGGCATTAGGCCTGTTTTATTCGCAAAAATTCATCGCCCTAGGTGTATATAACCACCTTTCCAACCCTGGGCCTTTCCGCTACGGTTTTAGTTCAAGAACAAAAGAAGGCAAACCCCACTAGCAAAGTACCCTGCCACCACTCCCAACCCGTGTAAGCGGAGGTCAGCCCACATTTCCTGGAGAGGGGTAGGAGGTGGAGGAAAGGGGGTTCCCCGCACCACTCTTAAGAGCCAGGTCTTTACCCCCATCTGGCTTGGCCTCACTAGGAGTGTCGCGGGGCAGCCAGGCGGCCCCAGGTGCTATAGCAGAAGGGGAAGGCTTCCTCCCCATGGCCCCGGGGACTTGGGCGCAGAAGCAGGCAAAGGGACGGGAACGAGCTGACCGGCCTCAGGCGCCCTCGCACTTCTCTCATCAGCGCAGGAGTCCAGTACCACTCCGCCAGGAGCGGTGGGCGTCTCGACCTTGCCTGGAGTAGACCTCGGCAAGGCAAGTTCCTTGCCCTCTTCTCTTTGGGTCTCAGTTTCCTCATCTCACCAGGCACGGCTCAGCCCGACTTGGGTCTTAACATTTTGAGTTCTTTGCTTTTCTTGCCTTTTTCCTGGCCCAGACGTTTCTCGAGCACCCGTCTTGAATCCCTGTCTCCGGCCCTGCCCATCCCTCTCGGTCCTCGGCCAGTTAGGAGCACGGCCTGGGGGTGCCCCTGGCTCCCTTTAACCCCCAGACCCCCACCCCCATCCCCGGGATCTCCCATCCAGACCACAGAGGAGGAGGCGCGCAGGCCGCTCCGCTCCCCCAGGAGGGAAAGGGGGAGTAGAGAAGAGAAAGGGGAGTAGATTCGCGAGAAGGTTAGCAGGAGGAGAAAACAGAAAATAGAAAAAGAGGGAGCAAGAGAAATGAGCAAAAGAACGAAAGTGGGGAGGAGGGAGGTGAGATGCTGGAAAGGGATGAATCGGAGAAAAAGAGGAATCCAAAGGCAAGCTGAAGAGAGAGGCTGAAGACAGGAAAAAGAACGAACGAGCGCGCGCGAAACAGCAGGGTCTGAAAGGACCAAAGAGAGAGAAAGAGGAAAAAAATGAGGGGGGTGTGCGGGAGAGCGGAGGGAAGGAGCTGCGAGCCGGGAGGAGGGAGGCTGGGAGGGAAGGAGAGGGAGGGGCCGAGGGACCAAGGGGGTGGGGGCTGGCTCGGCAGCAGCCGCCGCGGCTCCAGCCGCCCGCTCGCTCGCTCGCTCGCTCAGTCGCTCCCGGTGCTCGCTGCCCGCCGCCCGGCTCCTGGCTGCTCGCGGCCCCCGGCTCCTGCCTGGCGCTCTGGCCAGGCTCGGGCACCGGAGGACAAGACCGCGCGACTGGCCAGCCGAGCCCTGGGCCGGCCGCGGGAGCAGGTAGGTGGCTCGGTGGGGACCGCGAGGACGCGGAGCCTCGGACGCCGGGGGCACCAGGGGACGCGGGGGTGGGGGTTCCAGCCTTGGGGAGGGGACTTTGCAGCCCCACGACTAACTTTCCACCAGCTCCGCGGACCCCCGGCGGCCCTGCCCAGGTCCGGGCTGCCGAAGCCGAGTTTGGCACGGGGAGGAGGTGGATGCTGGTGGTTGCGGGAGAGCCAGGGGGTCCGGCAGGACGTGAGGCGTCTCAGTGTGGGCAGGCGCAGCCCTCCGGCCGCAGTCGGGATGCAGTGTCCGCGGCGCCTCCACGTGCGGGGGAAGACCCGAGAGCAGCGGCGCGGAGCGGGTGTCCCGGGGAGGGCGCCCGTCTGTCCCCTTGAGTCTGGGGACTCCGCTGTCAAGCCGCCCCGGGTGTGCCGGTTGCACTCACTACACGGGCGCCTTCCCCGCCGGGGTCGGGACGCAGAGCCTGCGGGGATGCAGCAGGTTTTCGCCGGCGGCCGCCCTTGCGCCTCGCGGCCGCCAAGCCCCAGCAGGTGCCATGCACGCTTTTGCTTTTGGGAGAAGAGGGGCGGAACGTGTATCCCCCTATTTCTTTCCCATCCCGTCGCCGTTACTCTATTCCGGGAAGTCCAGGACCTGGGCGGCCTTGTTGGTTGGCTCCCAGGACAATCCTCCTGCCCTAGGCTGCGACCCTGGCTCCCAAAGTTAAAGGAGAAGCAAGTCACTCTCTGCGCGCGCCTGGAGCGTGGTCCCGAAGTTCCCAACTTCTCGCTCAGCCGTGGGCGGTAGTGTTGGAGGTGGTGAAATGGGTAGTGGTTGTGACTCCTTGGAGCTGCCGAGCGCAGCCGTCTTCCTCCTGGACTTGGTTTATTTTCCTAATTTGTTAGAAAAAATACTACTTAAAAATAGGCAGAATCGCTCCTCGCGGGCGTCAAGGTCCGTGAGTGGGACGCAGCCGTCCCTGTCCTGAGCCCGGGAGCGCCGAGCCTCGGCGTGGCAGTCCCCGGAAGCCCCGAGCCCAGGCGGCTTCTCCCGGACCTGGACTCGCGGGCTCCATCCCGCGGCAGCCGCGTCTTGGGATCCGTGCCCCGCAACCCGCGCTGCGAGGCCAGTGTGACTGTCTCCCGGGTGGTCATGTTCTCCGGAAAAATATTTCAAAGTGGCTCCGCTTCAGGATCACCCACTTTCCATCCCTCCAAGAGCCGAGAGAACAGGGTCTGCGGCGGGTTGGAGGAGACCTTTGGGATGGTTTGGGCTCCCGGCCATCTCGGCTCGCTCGGGTTGGGGTCCTCGCGCCCGGGCACCAGCGCCCCGCCGGCGCTCTGCTGGGGAAACAAGGGTTAAAGCCCCGGCCTGGCGCGGGAGAGCGGGGGAGAACCCGCGGCGGCCGGCTGGGGCATTCGAAACCTGCAGGGGACTCCGTCCTGCTAGCTCCCGGAGTCGGAGGGGCAGGATTCGCCGACCTCTGCGGCTTCTCGTAGCCAGCGGAGCCCCGGCCCAGCAGCCCTGTTTGTTGGAGTGCTGTCGGGAGATTCTCTTGAGAGGTTTAGGGGGTTTAGTGGCACCAAACCTCGAGGCTTTCCGGAGAGGGTCCATCTGCCGTCACTCCCTGCAGACTGGGCGGGGTGCCCCGAGGGCGTTGAGCAGACGTTGAGCATCCTCTGCTTCTCTGGCGGATTTTCCTGGTGCACACCATGCATCAGCTCTCTCCGGTGCTCACATTTTGTTTAAGCCGCTAGAAATTCGAGGTCTAGGACTGCAATCTCGCCACTTCCTCCCACTAACAGATCAGCAAACTGAGGTCCAGAGAAGTGAAAGGACTTGCTTAGAGCTGCTATACGGGAGGAAGAGTAGGTAAACCAAGTCTTCTGACTTCCGGGTCAGGGCCTTTTCTAGTAGTCCACACTAACTTTATTGCTTTCTTCGCACAGGGCAGGTGTTCCCAGTCAGGCCACTGCACATCCTTGGCAGGCTTGAGGGCTGAGTGTGTGTGAGGTTAGAGGCAGAGGACCTGTCTCTGAATTTTCGGGTTAGGTGCTGTGCTGGGAGTATCTCCCAGGATAAATCACTCATGGGACAGTTTGTTGTGTACCTGTTCTGTCCCTGCACCGGGCTCTAGGGGTAGATGGAGCCCACACACAGGGCTCAGCCCTGTCAGGTGCAACCCACAGGGAAAGAGAAACCATTCTTTTGTAGTCAAGGAAGTGAGCGCATGTAGACATTCTCAGGTGAAATCACTTCGGGAGGGGTGGTTTTGGGATAGTCCCTGGAGAAGGCAAGATTAGGAGCTGCTAGGTAGGTTTCCAGCTGGGGAAGGAGGGTTGTCAGGATACAGGGCTTGAGTCCTAAGAAGGAGGCAGGAAAGCTGATTAAGCAGTTGGTCAAAGCACAGCACTGTCAGGGCCAATGAGCACTGGGCCTTTGAGTGAGAATCACTAGGGAAGTTAGAAGAGCCAGTTGCTCAGAGCTCAAGCTCAGAACCTGGTCCCAAGGGACTTCTAGGCCTATACTTAAGGTGAGCAATTGGCTGGCAAGTCAGTGCCCCATGAGCCAAGGGTGGTGGGGTCAGAGGGGCTATACTCTGGCTTTTGCTTCTTTTCTTCTTTCTCATCATTCCCAGGGGTTTCAATCATTCTCATTCTTTTGCCCCTTCTCTCTCTCTCTTTTTTTTTTTTGAGACAGAGTCTTACTTTCTCACTCAGGCTGGAGTGCAGTGGCACAATCTTGGCTCACGGCAACCTCTGCCTTCTGGGTTCAAGTGATTCTCCTGCCTCAGCCTCCCAAGTAGCTGGGATTACAGGTGTGCGCCACCATGCCAGGTTAATTTTTGTATTTTTAGTAGAGATGAGGATTTGCCATGTTGGCCAGGCTGGTCTCAAACTCCTGACCTCAAGCGATCTGCCTGTCTCAGCCTCCCAAAGTGCTGGGATTACAGTGAGCCACCGCGCCCAGCTCTTTTGCTCCTTCCCAACCATAACTTTTAGCTACTTCAGTGTTCCGAACTTATGAAAGGCAGGAGCATGCAGTCAGCAAATAGTTCTTGAGCTCCTTCTTTGTGCCAGGCACTGGGCTAGGCCCTTGGGATACGGCGATGAATCAGACAGGAAGAGTCCCATACCTTGTGATGTTGACATTCTAGGCTCTGTCCTCCATAGGCTTAAAGTCTAGTCATAGAACAGAGGCAAATACACAAATGATGTCTGAAGAAGTCCTGAAATGGGACAATACAATAGAGAATTCTGAACCTCCCCTCTAGTGGTTTAAGGCTCCAAGGTGAAAGGTTTGAAGTTGTTGGCTATGAGATTTGGAGTTTCTGTGGGCTTCCATGACCCCAGCTCCTGGTTGCCAGGGGTAACCCAAAGGCAGCTGCAGTGGTGACCTTAGATGCAGCATTGGACAACTGCTGTACAGAGCTTCTGCCAGGAAGGGAGCTGGTGAGCGTTGGCAACTATGATCCTGCTAGGTATCCATAGAGCCTGGTGCCAGGTAACCATGTCCCTCTTAAATTCCAGCATCCACAGCTGTTTGGTGTGCTCTGGAGCCCCACTGTACAGATGGGTAAATGGAGCCCTGAATCTGTAGACTGGGACAGCTGTGCAGTAAGAGGGGCCCAGCCCGTATAGAATCCAGGTGTTCCCTGATACAGGAGTCAATTTAAAAAGTCAATTTAAAATGCTGCTCTTTTCTTCCTAGAAAAACATTTCTTCCTTGCAGACTAGTGATTCTCAGATTTCAGGGTGGAGGGCTTGTGAAAACACAGGTTACTAGTTCACACTCCCAAGTTTCTGATTCAACGGGTCTGGAGTGGGTCCAGTAATTTGCATTTCTAAACAAGTTCCTAGGTGATGCTGATTCTCTAGTTCTAGAGACCACGCTTTGAGAACCAATGTGGTAGAACAAGGGAAAGTGAATGATTTTTTGAGATTATAAGATAGGGGAGCCTGGAACGAAGGCTGTGATTTAGCTCTAGGAGCTCATAGGACTTGCTATGTATATCCTTCTATGTACATCCCCTCCCCCTCACCCCCAGGAGGCCATAGAATTAAAAGAATATTTTATCTTCATCAGCACACACACAGAGAGAATATATTGCAATATAATTAGGGAATAAATAGGTGTTGTGTATTGGATGTAGATTCCATGCCTGGTGGCTCTGTGGGGGTTTATTATAGCAGTGTTATAATTGAAAAGGTGTCATCCACTCCGAAGCCCCTCATAAAACTTTCATGGCCTGGGTGGTCATTGTCCAAAAAAACATGTCTTCTTCATTAAAAGACTGAAAGTCAGAGAGATTGCTTCTCCTGCTAATGGGACTATCTGTGTTTCATTTGACAGTAACTGTGCAATGTGTTCTTAACGAATTGTGCAGGGGGAGCAAACAACAACTGAACAGTCAGTGTGAACAGAGAGGGGCTGAATGAAGTCCACATCACAGGTTCACAGGTCTGTTTGTTGAGTACCTCAAAATGTTTTGAAACTCTGTCTCTCTGTCTTCCTGTATTTCTGATATGAAGCTGCATCTCAGCAGGAAGAGGAGAGTTTGTGTTTCAACTTAGCTGACCGGGTAAATGTAACAGCATACTTTATCCCCAAAGTGTTAATTAGACCCAAAAGAAAAGAACCATAAAGCAGTTGTTCTCCTAAACGCCGGCATTTTTCATCTGGATTCTATTTATTGATTATTTTATAGTTGAGAGGGAGCAAAAATCCATGTTTTTATAGCCAACAAAGCTGGCTGCAGTAATTATGCAGGCTCAACATGTCTGTTCTGGAGCTGGAAGTTGGAATTCAGCCTGATTCTCAAACATTTGGGTGAGATCTAATTGAAAAAGACATTTCAAAGAACAAATATTTAGGAATGAGGAGTTTCGCTGATGGTCTCTCTGGGCCAAATGTGAGTACCTTGCTTTTAGTTTGATCCTCAGAGGTAGGAGGAGATCATGGAGAAGGACCTTGTCAGTAATGTTGAGACCACAGTCAAAATGTGAGGCTGAACT